ATCATTTTATGCTAAAAACCTTTGCATATTTATGTATGAATAAATTCCACTGAAGGACGCTCACTTATAGAAGTGCTAAATAGGTTTACATCTTCTCATAAGAAAAAATTGAAATTCAAAAACAAAAATGGAATTTTGTTTTTTAATTACAGTAAGTTATATTGCATATACAGTATTGCAAACTCCATTGGCATTCTCATCTACTGAAACAGCCTCTGTTTACAGGTTTCAACAGTCATGAATAATTATGTAAAAATAACTCATAATTCAATTAAAATACAAGATTCCTTCCATAAACATGGTAACCCTTGGATCTTATCTCAAGAAAGAATACAATATTTAAAACAAAAATGAGCTAAATCAAGGATAAAGTATATGTATTGAGTTGCCATTGAAACAATTAGCAATGTCTTAAGCCCCATAACAATTCCAGTAATTTTGCTAGCCAAGAGCAGTTTCATTAAGGTTGACAGTTTTTCAGCCAGAAACATAAAAAAATTACATGCCTAGTGTTGTATAAGAGACATTTTTCAGTGCTAAGTGAGTATGATTCAAATTGTATGTTTTATATATTTAAATTAATTAGCAAATATTTGGTAACATATTTATTTAAACTTTAGCACATTTTCTACATTTTTAAGGTGACCAACTTTTTTACAATGAAAAGGAGGACACAAATAAATTGAAGAAAAAAATATCGTAAATAAAAGAAACATTTTATTCATTGCAACAATAATACAGAATATGCTATAATATGATAAATGCATAATAAAAACATTTGTAACAATAAAATTTTATATTGTAATTATGCTTACATGCCTATTAATTATTATTTAAATGAGTACTGCACGGGGTGGGCGACGGAGGCAGGTGTTGCGGGCCAGTTGCTCCAGGAAGACCACGCAGGTGTGCAGGGCGAGGTGGCGGCAGCACAGGTCCAGCACTGGGTAGATCACCAGTTGGCCCAGCCCATGGAAGGTCAACTGCCCGCCGTGCCACCACCTGCAGCTGCCCCACCAGCACCGCTACCCCACTGTGTAGAGCAGGCCCCGCAGCTCCTAAAGCATCAGCTGTGCCGGCTCCAGCCCCAGGAGGCAGCCTGACACAACACACCCTGCCTGCAGCCGCCCCGCCGGCACCACCGCCCGCCCTGCACAGCCCTGTGTAGAGCGCTGCTGCCCCTGCCTCTTGCGCCCGCAGCCATTATTGCCCTAGCAGGGCCAAAGATCAAGAGAAACTTACCATGGCCTCGCTGCTCCAGTCTCCTCCAGGTATCTTTGGGACTAACTAGGAGATGATGTAGTTGGGTAGCAGAGAGGGGTGCAAAGTTCGTGCCAATTTGCCTTCACTGCAGACAACTTGCACTTGCAAAGTTTGCTGGCGGGTGTTTTGGCGCGCTCAGCAGCAATTCCTATTGGCTTTTGAAAGCCAATAGCAGGAGTAGCACAGCTCATGCAAAAGTTGAAAAAAAAACATCAAAAAAAGGTGCTGGAAGGCCATTCTGAGCGTTCTATGAGGGGAAAAAAAGCCCTGCAGATTAGTCTTCAAATGTTGAAAAGGAGGACATGTAGGAGGGTACTTTTCGAGGGAGGACAGAACTTACAAAAGCCTAAAGGAGGACGGTTGGTCACCTTAACATTTTGATAAAGAGATAGTTAGCTTACTGTTGAATTTCAGTGATAAAAATTAGATAAAGTTATCTAAAGCCAATGCAACACACAGAGGGCTGGTCTAGCACAAAGTCCTATACACCAAGCCACTCAATTATGAAATTTCTATTTTTCAGCCTGATCTCACATACAGGAATTTTATAAATATGATACTGAAAGTAGAATAAGTGAAGTCAGGGCATTATTCTAAATTCTGGCAAAGAAGACTAGCATAAACATAACAAATGATTTTGCTTTAGTTTTGTTTTCCTCTGTGTCAATAACTTTCTAAGCTGAATAATACTGTAGCATTTTAATTTGGCAGATTTTTTTTTAAAGCCTTCTTGCTTTTGGACTAACATTTATTGACATCTCTCTTCTGCTCTCTTTAAAGCAGGAAGACTTTTAGATAGCTTAGTAAATAAAAACACCCAATTCTTTTCTTTGTACTATGAATAGGAACAAATGACCCCTGCAAGGATTATTTACAACTTCATTTTGTCTCTCACATTCACCATTCTGGAAGACATCAACTCTGTCCCCTGCAGTGCTCCACTAGGAGCCACTAGCCAAATCAAACTATCACAGTCTGTAAACATTTCTTGCATCCCACTGCTATTTCCAAAATTACATTTTCTGTGTTCCCTATAAACAGAAAAGCAGAGGAGTTTCTGTTCATCTCAGAAAAGGGTTTTTTCTCATGTCCTAGAATGTGGTCTGTTAATTGCTTTACTAGGAGCAAACTTAGGTCATCCTTTGAGAATGAAGTTGTTATAAAACAGCTATGTTGACAGATGGTACAAGTGGCATCACTAATCCAATCTGCCATGGTGTTTTCATGGCAATGGGGAATTATCACTGTGTCAGTAAATGGAAGGCTTATTAAATGTTCTGTTCTAAGCACAAAATGCATTGTAATGATAGCTTGTGGAGTCATAAATTGGAGACGCAAGAATGATTATATGGTCCATGACTGATGAGTCTGTGACATATGCCTTGGAAACATTTTGCAGATACCTTCATTTGGAGCCAAAGCCATCTTGCTTCTCTAAAGCAGCATTTCAGTGAGGTATTTAGGCCCACTAGTGCATAAACAGTGAATGTTGAACAAGCAAGTTCTTAAAACCATTCACTTCCTTGGGGTCAGCTACTTCAACTTAGCCTTGCAAAGTAATTTTTTTTTTTCTGTTCCGCTCATGCAGTTGAGCCATGCAGTTAATAAACAAAGATTATCCACTTCAGTAGGGACTTCAGTTTTTGTAGATAGAACAGGAGACAAATACAAGAGTAAATAAAAAAACATTTTTAATATTGCTAACTTAGACCAATGTCTTTTCTGTCATCCATGTTAACTTCCTTTTTGTGCATTTTCTGAATTACAGAATGAATCCAAGCTTTTTTGATAGGCTTTGAAAGCTGAGCAAATCAATAGCTGAATATCCAAGCTACAGTTTATTTCTATGTATGTACACTGACCTTTTTATGTCATACTAGGTAGCTCCCAACCAAGTTTATTATATTCTTAGTTTCTGAGGGTATCCTTCTGAATAGACAAAGTGTGTGGTATGGATAAGGAGACAGAACCTTCTCAATTAAAATGTCAAAGTTGTGGCCACCAGTCTATTCAATGGTCATGTGCAATTTGCATCTGCTACTCTAAAACTGTTTAACTTATACTTCGGTATACACACACACACACACACACACACACACACACACCCTATTCCTATGTACATAGTTATTTCATTTTTCTCATGCAAGTTCTAACTGTTGCTTTTAAAGGGGTGGTCTATTCAGTTGGAATCAAGTTTTCTTAAATATTATTTGTGACAAAGAAAATAAATATATGAATACTTTTAAACATTAAAAATTACAGCTAAAAACACATTCTTGTTTCAAAATTCTGCTTGTTTAATCCTTATTATTGGAAGCTGGAAATATATTAAGCTTGATTTACTGAATGTAGTAGTATAAATTGATTCATATTCATATTACTCTAGGATATCAAGTTAATTTTATGGCAGTTCCTATTTTATTGGTTAGAAAGAGTACAGAGAAGAGCAACAAAGATGATTAGGGGACTGCAGGCTAAAACATATAAGGAACGGTTGCTGGAATTGGGTATGTCTAATTTAATGAAGAGAACGACGAGGGGGGACATGATAGCAGTGTTCCAATATCTCAGGGGCTGCCACAAAGAAGAGGGAGTCAAGCTATTCTCCAAAGCGCCTGAGGGCAGGACAAGAAGCAATGGATGGAAACTAATCAAGGAGAGAAGCAACCTAGAACTAAGGAGAAACTTCCTGACAGTTAGAATAATTAACCAGTGGAACAACCTGCCTCCAGAAGCGGTGAATGCTCCAACACTGGAAGTTTTTAAGAAGAGACTAGACATCCATTTGTCCAAAATGGTATAGGGTTGGACTTCATGACCCCCAAGGTCCTTTCCAACTTTATTTTTATTATTGTTGTTGTTGTTGTTGTTGTTGTTTATACTCAGCTGTTCTTCCAAGAACTTGAAAAGACATACCTGGTACTCTTTCTCAACACTGTCCTATAGCAATAAACTTTGGGGACAATTTTTCAGAGAGAAACAGTGACTGATCCAAAGCTATCCAGCATCCATCACTAAGAGTATACTTGAATTTGGTCTCCTTGATACTAGTCCAACATTTTAATCTCTCTGTCATGCTATATTGTTATGAAGAATAATTTTACCAGCTTTTTAAAAAATATATTCCTTACCTACCATCAATTGTATTTTGCAAAAATTGGCTTCATTAATTTTAGTTAATTCAGATAAATGATTACAAGCAATGAAAAATGAAACTTAAAGCAAAGAATTTCCTCTAAATTGCCGTTGAGAGTCTTTGGAATGGGTTCAACATCTACATATCTTTTTCAGACAGTAATGGATGCCTTAGTGTCTTTGATCATCTACCATAATGAAAAGAAGACTATAATGTACCTGGTGAATTATGGGAGGGGGGATGCTGTATTTTAAATATAGAAAATGAAGAAAAAATCTGGACAGAATAAATTAAATTAGTTTAAATCCACAGAGTGGGGATCATTCCTTAATCTACTATGAAGTACAATAAAGTTATTAACTATCCAGAGCAAAAAGCAATGGCATTTTAAATTGTCTAATCATAGAAATTAATTCTTGTAGGAAACATTAATCATTTTTAGTCAAAAAATAATTTTAATGAAGTGAATAACCCCTTAATCATACAGATTTAGCTGCATAGAAGTGAAGTTGCTTTTTCTCTTTTTTCTCCCTCTTTTCCCATCTAATCCATGTTTCACTGGCACCTGATTGATTTTAATCTCTTCTTATTTTTTTTTAAGGTGTTCCAGTGGCTTTGATCGTCATCGTCAAGATTGGGTAGATAGTGGTTGCCCTGAAGAGGTGATATTCAGATATCCTATATTTATTATTATATTATGAATATTGATTCTTAAAATGAAGAGGATATCTTAGACTTCTCTGAACAGTACTTAAAAGCAGTTTCTGGATTTATCCTTTCCCTTAGAAAATCACTGTTGGCAGGTGAACATCTGTTCTGTCACTTACATCATGAGCACCCGCATTGAATCCAAATGTAGTTCTCTGTGCCCTAACTACATGTTTTGAATAGGAAAAACTAAATCAGAACTGTCATCCCAAACTGAGATAAGTTTTTATCTAGCTTGCCATTGTGTGATGGGAAAATATTACAATTATTGGACACATTTACCTACTTTTTCTATTAAAAAATAGCATTGATATATACCATTATTTTGTTTATTAGTTTGCTTGGATATCAGTATTGAAAAAGAACCCAGAAGTACATTTGATGGGAAAGCCTTAACTTGATTTTGTGTATAAGTGAAGTTTTCAAGGATGAAATTAAGGGATCTGAATTTTAACCTTGGATTCTGCATGTATGTATATAATTTATATGGCCCCTTGTTTCATGCCCATGTTTGCATGGCTACCAATAATTAAGCACAGTATAAAAACATAAAGCAAAAAAGGAAACAACAGCATATAATACGCATAATCTGCAACCAAGGTAAAAATCCAAACAAAAATCAGAACAACCATTGCAAGGCTCAGACACTAAGATTCCAAGGCTCTGGGACAAAACCGTGTCTTTAAGGTTTGCAAAAAGCCAGCAGGGGTGAGAACCAATCTAATCTCAGAGCCAAACCTCAGTTTGGGAGAAAAAAATGCAATGAACTATTTCATTCTGGATTCTTTTTTCAGTTCTTTAATGGCAAATAAATGTTCTTATAATGTCTAGAAATTTGAGCTTCTCTACCATTTATTGAGACTTTAATTCTCTTTTAGTGAGAAAATATGCTATATTTATATTTGCAAACTCTTAATTTAAAATTTCCATTTTCACATATTCTTGTGTTTGTGTTAGATATATGTAGAGCTCAGACAAATGATTTCTACTGAGAACCAATTATTTCCTTTTTTTCATATTATTTTTCTTATGAAGTCAAAAAATAAGGTTTGTGAGAATACAGACACAACTCAAACTACTCTTCATATCACAACTGCACTACAGCAAACCACAATGAGAGACAGAGTTTTAACAACTACCAGAGGAGCCATTACATCACATCTGCCAACTAGTCTACCCACAGAAGGTAAGAACCTAGAGTCGGATATGTTATCAAAAATGTTTAAAATTTGCAGCATAATTCTATCATACGAAATTATCTACTCAGGAGATGTTGTCCTTCAGTAATACAGTTATGTTATGATACCAAAGACTGTGGCCCAAAACTGCCTATCACCCCTATAAACAAATTTTTTCAATAATTTATAATAATTAAGTTTAATTCTAATCCTGTTTTGGGTTGAAATTGGCTTTCGGTATAATTAAGTAGCATCAAGAGGTCCATAAACTAGAATACTTTCTTGGTTATTTAAACATTGACTCAATATTTTAGAACCAGTGATTTGGAGTCATTGGGACCTTCTACATTGAAACTCTTATTTTGAAGTATTTTAACATCCTTAGTGATCAAAAATACTGCTGGAAATTGTTAGCTTTCACAAAAAGGTGAGTATTTTACTATATATTTCCCAAATGAATTGAGGACTGTGTGAATTACATGTAATAATAATAATAATAATAATAATAATAATAATAATAATAACAACAACAACAACAACAACAACTTAACAATTGTTGATAAGAAAGTCAAAAAAGTCTGGATAGTGGATGTGGCAGTGCCTGGAGACAGCAGAATAGAAGAGAAAGAACTGGAGAAGATAACAAAATACAAAGACCTACAAATAGAATAGAAAGACTGTGGCAAAAGAAAGCAAGGGTATTACCAATAGTAATAGGCTCCTTGGGTGCAATCCCAAAACAACTGGAGCACCACTTGAACACCATTGGCATTGACAAATTCGCTATTAGTCAATTGCAAAAGGTGGCCTTACTAGGAACTGCTTCCATCCTGCGACGATACCTATAATACCATCAAACATCCACATCTGCCTATCCCAGGTCCTGGGTAAGGACTCGATAGGTAGACAAAATGCCAAATCCAGTCTGAACATCTGGCTGACTGTGCGATGATCAATAATAATAATAATAATAATAATAATAATAATAATAATAATAGGCATTTGACTCTCTGCCACATGACTGGATAATCAAGTTCCTAGAAATAACAGGAGTCAGTAGAAACATTAGAAAATTTGTGCAAAGATCGATGGCACAATGGAAGACACAGTTGCAGATCAATGGTGAGAGGCTGGGACAGATTAATATCAAGAGAGGAATATTTCAAGGAGATTCATTATCACCATTACTATTTGTTATTGCACTGTTTCCTCTGTCGACAATACTGAATAACTCAGGATATAGCTATCAAACATCAAAAACATCTGCCAGACTATCCCACCTCCTTTACATGGATGATCTGAAGCTGTATGGAAAAACATCATCTGAAATAAAATCGCTGCTCAACACTGTCCGTATATATAGCCAAGATATTGTAATGGAGTTTGGCTTGGACAAATGTGCCACACTTACTATCAAACAAGGAAAATAGTGAAAACTGAAGGAATCAAGATGCCCCACGAAAATAACATTAAGAGTCTGGATGAGGAAGAGTACTACAAATACTTGGGTATCCTTCAAGCTGACAACATCAAGCACACTGAAGTCAAGAAAAAGATTAGAGGTGAATACATCAAGAGAGTGAAGAAGATCTTAAAGTCCAAACTCAATGTAGGAAATACCATAAAGGCAATCAACACCTGGGCAATCCCAGTCATTAGGTACACAGCTGGAATAATGGACTGGACTCAAGCAGAACTAAAAGCAATGGATAGGAAGACCAGAAAAATAATGACAATGAATCATGCCCTTCATCCACGCAGTGACATTGACAGACTTTATCTACCAAGGCAAATAGGTGGGCGTGGAATGCTATAAGTACATCAGATGGTTGAAGAAGAAAAAATGGCTTTGGAAGAATATCTGAAGAACAATGATGAAGATGCACTGAAATTAGTATATCAGGAAGGCTTACTAACTACTGGAGAGACCAAACTGGCCTACAAGAAAGACCAAATGAAGAACAGAATAGAGGCATGGAAGACAAAGCACTACATGGCCAATACATGAAAAAAATAGCTGGGAAAGCAGATAATAATAAAACCTGGCAATGTCTAAGAGCAGGAAAATTGAAGAAAGAGACCGAGGGACTAATTCTGGCTGCACAAGACCAAGCCTTAAGGACAAATGCATACCAAGTCAAAATTGAGAAGACAGCAACAGACAGTAAGTGCCGCCTATGCAAAGAAGCTGAAGAAACAGTGGACCACTTGGTAAGCTGTTGCAAGAAGATTGCACAGACTGATTACAAGCAGCGGCATCACAAAGTAGCAACAATGGTGCATTGGAAGATCTGCAAAAAATATCATTTGCCTGTAAGCAAAAACTGGTGGGATCATAAAATAGATAAAGTCATAGAAAATGATAAAATTAAACTGCTATGGGACTTCAGAATTCAAACAGACAAGCACCTGCAACATAACACCCCAGACTTAACAATTGTCGATAAGAAAGACAAAAAAGTCTGGATAGTGGATGTGGCAGTGCCTGGAGACAGCAGAATAGACCAGAAAGAACTGGAGAAGATAACAAAATACAAAGACCTACAAATAGAAATAGAAAGACTGTGGCAAAAGCAAGCAAGGGTAGTACCAATAGTAATAGGCTCCTTGGGTACAATCCCAAAACAACTGGAGCACCACTTGAACACCATTGGCATTGACAAATTCGCTATTAGTCAATTGCAAAAGGTGGCCTTACTAGGAACTGCTTCCATCCTGCGATGATATCTGTAATACCATCAAATATCCATATCTGCCTATCCCAGGTCCTGGGTAAGGACTCAGTAGGTAGACAAAATGCCAAATCCAGTCTGAACATCTGACTGACTGTGCGATGATCCATAATAATAATAAAGTTGGAAGGGACCTTGGAGCTCATCTAGTCTAACCCCCTGACTGTGTAACAGTATTTTGTCAGTTACAGGTAGTATGTAGTATTTTCCTGACATCTTTAATATTAAATCAGTATCTTATACAAGTGGCCAATATTCAGAATGAGAGACCTCTTTTGATAATATAACGGTGATGATGTTGTTTAAAAGCCAGTAAACTGGAAGGATGTTTTTAAAAATAATTAAAATAATATGTATAAATAACAAGAATTAGTATACCAAAAGTACTCATAAGAAGGAACCAACAGAAATTATATGTAACTATTCATGAATATGGAAATATACATGAGAGCATAGAGGAGTGGGGTGATAAAAATATAAACTGCTGTAGAAAATGGATAGCATCAATTTGTACTTGAAAAATTGCATAATGGCAGCAGATCTGCCATTTCAATTTCCATGATGTGCAAACTGTTGTGTACAATCTTGTTTATTGTTTTTTTAATAAAATAGTGCTTATTTATTTAACATGTACTAATTTAAATATAACTTCTTGGCTTCAATTCAAGAATCAATGGTATATTCATGAGGTGGTTATTAACTCATTGTATTAACTATCTAGTCAGATATTAGGTTTTTTTCCTCTCTATCTCCATCTTTGTTAGAAGAGAATGCAGGTAATCCTCGACTTAACAATCATTTGTTAACTGAATTGAAGTTGTAATAGCATTCAAAAAAGTGACATGACAATTTTTCACACTTACAAGCTTTGCAGTCACATGATCAAAATTTGGACACTTGACAACTGGCATGTGTTTATGATGGTTACAGTGTCCTGGAGTCATGTGGTCACTTTGGCAACCTTCTGACAAGCAAAGTCTATGGGGAAGCCAGATTCATTTCACTGTAATACTAACTTGACAACTGTAGTGATTTCAAAGATGCTTTTTCACAAGGCAACTGGACTTTCTTGTTTTTCTTTGAAGGTGTTTCGCTTCTCATCCAAGAAGCTTCTTCAGTTGTTAAAGCTACCTGGAGGCTTATCTTCCCACCCACTCAGTGGTATAGATATGTGGACGATACTTGGGCCAAGATCAAAACACTGGAATTGCAAGCATTCGCAAAACATATCAACTCAGTGGACAGATACATCAAATTCACACATGAAGATGTTAAGGAAAATAGTCTAGCCTTCCTGGACTGTGCTGTATACATTAAGGAAGAGAGAAGCCTTAACATTGAAATTTACAGAAAACCTACTCACACAAATCAATATTTACATTTTGATTCATACCACCCATTGGAGCACAAAATGGGAGTTATCAGAACCCTACACCACAGAGCTGAAGGCCTGCCCATCAGCAAAGAAAGAAAAGAAAAAGAAATAAAACACATCAAGGAAGCTCTCAGAATGTGTGGCTATCCCAAGTCGGCCTTCAACAAATCTCAAAAAAAGACCTAGTGGGAGATCCTCTGAAAAAAACAATAAACGAAGCAACATGGTCATTCCATAGGTTGCTGGAATATCAGAAAAGTTCAGGAGGATCTTCAACCAACACAACATACTTACACACTTCAAACCTAAGAATACACTAAGGCAGAAGCTTGTCCACCCCAAGGATAAAACATCCAGACACAAACTGAGCAACATGGTATATGCAATACAATGCAGCGAGCCATGTGCAAATCAGTAACATTGGGGGAAGGAAACAACTTCATAAACATGGTACAACATAGGAAAACAAACCCATCAGGACAAGAGTCAGCAGTCCATGTATATTTAAAAGACAAAGGCCACTCTTTCGAAGACAGCAAAGTCCACATTTTGAACAGAGAGGACCGCAGGTTTGAAAGAGGGGTCAAAGAGGCCATCTATGTCAAAACTAAACAGCCCTCTTTCAACAGAGGGAGAGGGATTTGACATCATCTATCTCCAGTCTACAACACGGTCCTTTCAACAGTTCCAAGAAGTCTCCATACCTCATTTGCACTACTCAGGTGACCCTGAAGACACAGATAAGCCTCCAGGTAGCTTTAACAACTCACTAAAAGAATGCAAATGAACAGCTTTCTGTAAGTATAAATCTTTCCATTCCGCACCATCCAGTCAGAGCTGAAGAAGCTTCTTGGATAAGAAGTGAAACATCTTCAAAGAAAAACAAGAAAGTCCAGTTGCCTTGTGAAAAAGCATATTTGGGACAACTATGACCTGGATGACTGAGAATTTCAATAGACAACTGCAGTAATTCACTTAACAAGAGTGTGCAAGAAAAGTTATAAAATGGGGCAAAATGACATAACAATGGTCTTATTAGCAATGGAAATTTTGGGCTCTAAATTGAGGACTATCTATATCAAATATTTTTAATTTTGAATTGCCAGTGCTAGTTTAATAAAATAAAATTTTTGTTTTGCTTGTCTGTTGCAAGACATTGTATAGTTATGATGTAGTTGGTTATTGTAAAACATTTCAACAGTATTTCAGCTACATAGAAACCTTAAGCTTTTCAATCCTGCAAAGATAATACAAATAGAAGTCTCTTAATGCAAAGGACTATTTTTGAGTGCAAGAACCTAAAAGAAAGGTTTAAACACTGTCAACAGAAGCTTTTGAGCTTTATTTCTATGTACTAGTTCTTAGCGGCCAGAATAATAGCAGAAAGCTGAAAGAGTTTAAAGTATCACAGTGTGAGAAAATGATTTAAAATGGTTGCCTATGCTTTAGAATTAAATGATGCTGACTTGTGAAGATCAGACAAAATTCATAAAATTAAAATCTAATAATAAAAAGTACATTAGATAAATACTGCTCCTGTGGAACATGAAGGCATGTTCTAAACTCATATGTGAATTAATTTCTGCCATTTTTTTTCCATTGCACATATCCTGCATGAAATTGTTCCAGGTTTTTATTCCAGAATTTTTGGGAGCAAAAGGAATGGTTCCAGGAGTACAAAATATTACCCAGCGTTTAAGAAAAAAAAGTCTTTGCTTCTTTATGCTTGTTTACATTTTTGTTATTTCCCTTTTTGCTGTTCTGATAGTACTATTTTCTTCTTCCCTACAATATGATTCCAGCCATTCCAGAAAGTACAAGGAATCCAAGATTATGGCATGATATTAAATATCTAATCAGCTTTGCTACCCAGCATTATTGCTTAGAAAAGTGTTGGGGGTACAATTCAACGCTGGCATGGACCCTATCTCTCAAAATCCTTGCTCGGCTTAGCTGGGCCCTACCATGCAGGGAATTGTAACAAATAATTGCTTGGTTCATTTCTATTCTAATTTTCCCTTTATGAAAAGGGAAAAATATTTGTAGGATTTTCTGCCTCATGGGTTAGAATATCTTGAATAGTATTAACCACAATGAATTTAGTCTTAAGCAGCAAAGTATTTTTGCTGGCTGTTGTTGTCTGTATTCCCACGCCATCCATATGCAGACAGGCTTATACCATCCAAAGCCACATCACGTGATTCAAAAATACACAGCACCTTGAAACAATGACTCTCACTGAGGTTAGGCAGACTGAATTTAGTCTGTAGGCCAGTCATTCTTCGCTTTCTTAAAGCAAACCTATTGCTTCCTCAAGGAGAGAAAGGAATGTACATTTGAGGTTGAGTGAGTGGTTCCTGTTTTCAGTGTTATAGCAATAGCACTTAGACATGTACATATGTCCTGAAGTATAGAAAGCTGAGTCAATCTTGAGCTCATCAGGATCAAATTCCTGGCTGTGGGCAGAGTTAGCCTGCAATGTTGCATTATAACCACTAAGCCATCAGGTCTTTGATGATGTTCTACCATTCAATGCTGACTGCTATTTCATGATGTACCACCAAATAGCCTCAGCAATACAGGACATTCTTTCTCTTCACATGTAAAAGTATTGGGAAAATAAAACCTCTATGACCACACACACACCTCTTAGCAACGTTACATATCAGCTTCAACCCCCTCTGTTCTGTCAGCCAATCCTCAAAATAAGTGTGCTTTTCTGGCACCAGCAAACAACATAAAATAGAATCCCCTGAAGATAAGTTTTTTTTAATACAGTACTACATCCCCTACAAAAACTGCGTAAAAAACATTCACACCTAGAAGAAGATCTATATTTTTAAAATCTTCATGGTCCCCAATGCCACAGATTATTTTCCTCTCTAGACTTCACTGGACAGGAACAGCTAAAATTTACACAGCTAAAATTTCTCAACTCAAAGGCCATTACTTTTATGATCAAAGCCCATCACTATTATAAATACTTACACTCTTAGCTTCTTAAACTTTATAACCTATCTTTGATTGCTATACCTTATGTTATGTGGTTGAATAAACAACCCTCTTCAAACAGTTGCCCAGTGTGCTTATTTGTGACCAGCTCAGAATCAGACCAAGTAAATTTTTCTAACTGAAGAATCAGTAATATTTTAGATACTTAGGATAAATTTCTTCTCCAGTGTTCGAACAGTTTTATTCTGATTTCCTATTTTTCCTTTTTCCCAATCAAAAAAGAGAAAAGGACAATATTTGTCACATCATCTTAGCTCATTATGTATTCCTAAACCCATTTTGTAATATTGCTTTTTATTGCTATAATATAATTTAGAAACCTTTGATATAGCAGTTTTAGAGATAAATCTTACCAATGACTTTGAAAGGGCATAAGATGAGCTGTAATTAAAAATTTTGTATGATAGTCAATGGTTATAAACTCAGATCTTCAGTGCTAACATGAACTGCTATAGAAACCTTTTTTAAATTCCTCACTGATCCATAGGACTACTCTTCCAACTCTTATTCAAGAGTGTCACATTTGTTTAAAATCATCATTTGTTTATCATCATAGCATTAGATGTTTAGATAAAATTCCTTTCTCTAATAGCTTTGAATTTCTTCTTCTAGATGATACCAAGATAGCTCTACACCTAAAAGATAATGGAGGTAAGAGCTGCTAATTTTTGCATTCAGATTACATGAACAGATCATCTAAATGCCATTCCATGAAACCAAATTGCTCTAGGAAATTATCCACTTACCTATGCTACAATACTATGAAAGATATTCTGAGAGAATGCTTAGTATAGTCAGCTATCATAATTTGCATTACTCATTGTATCAATGAAGCAAACCTCTTTGACTGCTGATTTATTTTTAGAATATATATCCTATCTTCACCTAGACAAACAAATGTTGATATAAATATTCATATTCAAATCACAGCACCTATTCATTGAATACAACAAAACAACAAGCAGTTCTACTAACATTATCCATCTTAGATACCTTTTAGAGAAAGATAGGTTTGCTACAAGACAAAACTTCCTCAGATGTTTGTATTTCTTTTTATTAATACACAACATGGCATATAATAAAACTTAGCAGAATTGTGGCTTTTAGCAATATTTTTATATACTGGTTGGATTATCTTCAGACCAAAATATTGAAAGATCATTTAATACCCATATGCTCCACAATAAGACAGATGTTGAGAAATGGTAATTTGTACATCTCAGATTTTATTGATTCTTCTCAGAAGCCATGAGATTTGATGATGGCATTTAGTTTTCAAAATAGTAATGCTTGTCTGCAGGTATTTTTAATATGTTATTAGGAAACAAAAGATGGAGATACAGCATGATTTAATTTGCAGAGTATCTAAGTGGCATGAATAGAAGTAGACATTAATATTGTTTATTAATCTAGAAATAATAAGACATCTGGAAATTGTCTGTGCAGAGATATTATAATGAGTATTTAGCACAGAAAATAGCATGCCTCATTTTGTCAATGCAACAGATTATTGTATATGAGGAAAATAAAAGAGCTGAAATGAATTTGTGCCAAGCTTAATCCTTATTTTTCTCACAGCCTCTACAGATGACAGCACAGAAGAGAAGAAAAGTGCCACTCTACACACTGGCTTAATTGTTGGGATTTTCCTTCTGGTTCTGATAGTAGCTGCAGCAATCCTTGTTATTGTTTATATGTATCACCATCCCACCTCTGCAGCAAGTCTCTTCTTCATTGAGGTAAATTGTGTTTTCCACAATTGGTTTACCGCCTGCAGCATGGTGAAAAGCTAGCTTTCATCATCTGCCCTGAAACAATGCAGTATTTTCAGACACCAACTAATATTAGCCTTTGTTTTTGCCTGGCATGTTGTTATTATTTGTGCTAAATTTACAAGCTGAGGGCATTTAGTTAAATGATGTGATAAGTAGCAGGGAGTGTATCTTGATCTGATAAAGCATGGAGCACTTCATCGTGACTTTTTTCCCCAGAAAATTGATTGGTTTCTGTGCATGATTGCTGAAAACAATCTTCTCCACCACAGTTCCCCCTCCCCAGCCTTTGATTCATCTTGGAAATAGTTTGTCATGAATTTTGTGTGTGGTGATGAGATTAATGACAAATGTAAATTTAGTACATTTATTTAGTTATCATGTTTATACCATACTGCATTCATATAGAAATAATCCATATAACTCTGAAATGAAACTTCTCAAATCTTGTGAAATATTCAGCTGGCCTCTCCTAACTCCAATTCAGAAGGATGTCTAGGAATTATAAAATTGCTCTTTAGAATAACTGGGAGTGTCTATGAGGCACAAATGTTCTAAATGCATTTTACTGAAAAAGTAAGGAATAGAGTACCTTTAGGAATAATATTTTGGCATTGGTTAGAGGTAGAAAATAGAATGCGGATAACTGCCAGACAATTGATAATTATTCGTTCCCATCAACATAAGGAAGATATTTTTAAAATTGAACAAACAAAAACAGCACCATCCTTTTCCTCTCCCTCAAATTATTTATCAAATTATTTCTCCTTCCCCTCTTGGAAAAAAACATTTTTCTTTAGCAATAAAATTCTCACACCAGTGCCCAATCCAGCCTTTTTTAAAGGATAAAGTTTGTTGGTGTATTTGAAAAATGGAAAGAATTTCCCTCCCTAAAAAACGTCTTCACTTTCCACTTTTATATAAAACTACCCTCATGTCTTCTTATTAATTAAATTATATCTAGGCTTCCCCATTATTGTCTTTAAAAGTGATTTGGTTGAAATATTTCTATAGATATTTCCTTTTTTCTTTAATATATGCAATACACGTATACTCAACTTACAACCATTCATTTAGCAACATTTTCAAAGTTATAACAGCACTTGAAAAAAATAATGTACACTCCTCAGGCCTCACATTTACAACTGTTGCAGCATTCCTGCAGTCATATTTGAGCAGTTGGCAACCAACATATAATTATGATCGTTTTGGCTTCCTGGAGCCATGTGATCACCATCTGTGACTTTTCCAGGAGATTGTGACAAGCAAAATCAGTGGGAAGCCAGTTTCATTTAACAACCGCATGATTCAGTTAAGAACTTCAGTGATACACTTAACTATGGCAAAAAAGATCATTAAAACCAGGCATTTGTCATTTAACAACTGCCTTGTTTAGCAACAAAATGCTGGCCTCAATTGTGACTGTAAGTTGAGGACTACCTGTATAGGAATAACTGTGGTAATTATTCAGAACAATTCCAGTACTGTGAATTCTTAGTGCCATATCTTCTATTCTAGCGTCGCCCAAGCAGATGGCCTGCAATGAAATTTCGGAGAGGATCCGGACACCCCTCATATGCTGAAGTGGAACCAGTTGGTGAGAAGGAAGGCTTCATTGTATCAGAGCAATGCTAGAATTATTCTGTGACAAATCACCAGTACTGGCCTACTGGTGTGAGAAGTTTATTCTGCCTCACATTTTAAAAAAGGAATTTGAAGCTGCTGCAACCTGAGGAAAATAGTTTGGATTTCTGGAGAAACCACAAGGGGGTTGGGGGTGGGACTAAATGATGACCCTTTACAGAGTGTTTTGTTTCAGAGCCATCTGGCATACAATATGTCAGAAACATGCCTCTGAAACACATACAGTCTGAGAATAAAGAACACATTTGCCATGTTTTTTGGTTTCAAGAAAAGATATAGAATAATCCAGAAAATGTACCAACAGGTTTAGTTCAGAAGAGTGCTTTCCTACCGTATTTGATGCAGTAAAGTAGTTTTGTTTTTAACTTACAAGGTTGTTTTTTTTCCCATGTCTCGAGGCAATCCAATAATTGATTAATCTGATGGTAAGATAAACCTGATGCAAATAACATGGGTTACTCACTTTTGATATTTCAATGAGTACAATCACTTTGATTTTCTAATACATAGCTATAAAATATAATCAGAAAGAGAAAAAGTGCTTCTTGTATTCTGTAGACCTATATCTTTAAACTGCAATTGCTAATCACAACTATAGTTCTATAGGTGACAAAGCACTAAAGAGATCTGGAGGCTTTAGAAAAACAAAAAAGAAGAAGCAAGAATGTTTTTCACTGTGGTGAAACTAGGCTGTCCAAGTGGAATATATAGTGAAATTGGACTAATATTCAGTTTCAATATTCACAGGAGGGAAATTGGGGTGCATGGGTGTGCATCATTTAGTTAGAAATAAATCCCAGCTCACTGGGACTTATTGCTGAATAATTATACGCAGGGCATTCAGGGAAGAAGGTTAAAAAAAAATCCAGATGGTGGCTACACCACAGGCACAGTGCTTATAAAAGGAAGTGGGGTTTCAATCACATAATTGCAGTTGCCCTCTTAAGGTTGAGAATCCTCTTGCAGATGAATCTGGCACAGAGGATTGGACTTCCAGCTTTGGGGGCACTGTTTATACCCCCGAAAGGTGGTCTAAAATAGAAGAGGTAGATATTTGATTAATATTGGGAAAAGAACAGCCTTGGAACACAGGAAACAAAACAACAAACAAATCACAGTATACCTACAGCTAAGTCATGTCTTTATAGTTCTCTAAGAGCAGAATTTTTGCATCAGTGCCCTTCCCTTCTTTCCTAGAAAAACATGAAACATATTTCAGTCCTTACAGATTCATGTAGAGATATTGTTTAATGCACATAGTAGCTGCATATATATAGTAAAAACAAATAAATACGAACACCAGGATAATATCAAACTTGGATTTGTTTAATAAAATGCTGAGCTTTCGTCGGCCAGCACTGCCAACATCATCAGAGCATAAAAACAAATCAATGGGAGTTCCCTTTTTATAACGCCGGCCAATTTTGTGCACGGTTCCTGGACCTAGTCATCGGTCCATCTGATATCTCTGATTGTTTCATTCTTGGAAGGCACGTAATCGCTGTTCCCTTGATGGTTTTTAAAGCCGCAGTTCCCTTGTCCACTTATTCATTCAGGATCGTCTGAATGAAGAGGGACTAGGACAGCATCAAGCCTCCCTCCATACCGAGGATTTGATAAAACTGACAAAGCTATGCCTAAAAACATACTTCACCTTTCAAGGAACCATATACAAACAGGTCAAAGGGACGCCAATGGGATCACCTATTTCGAGTATAATAGCAGAGGCGGTCCTGCGATGGCTGGAGGCTACAGTAATGACTAAATACCAACCTAGGTTTTGGGCCTGATATGTAGATGATACATTTGTTGTCATTAAGAAGCGTGACAGGGTTAACTTTATGGAAGCACTGAATTCAGTGTACCCCAATATTGGCTTTACAGCAGAGGAGGAGAACCAAGGTTCCCTAGCTTTCCTGGATGTGCTGGTTAGTCGACAACCAGATGGGACCTTGCACACGAGAGTATACCGAAAACCAACTCACACCAATAGAATCCTCCACTACAAAAATAACCATCCAGTGGCCCATAAAGTAAGTTGTGTCAAGACATTATTCAAATGCATTGGCTCACACTGTAACACAGCCAGGGCGAAAACCAAGGAAAGAAACCATCTTTTCCTGACCTGTAAATATAATGGTTACCCAGTTGAATTTGTTAGGCATTGCAGCAGACCATCCAGACCTTGGGAAGTTCCACAAATCGATAAAACAACAACTCAACCCGTACGTATCCCCCTGCCATACATTGGCAATGTGTCGGAGGCAAGAGCTAGATTATTGGCTCCTTTCAATGTCAAAGTGGCCCATAAACCGAACCAGACATTACGTGCTAGAATCATGCATCCTAAAGACCCCCTCCCCAATGAAGAAAGATCTTTGGTGGTATATAAGATACAATGCAAGGACTGTTCCTGCAACTACGTTGGGGAGACATCTAAGAGGCTAAAGACCACAGTGCATGAACACGTGCTGGCTGTTAAAAGACACGAACAACATTTGCAGGTATGGACCCATATGACCAATTTTGGTCACACATTTGATCTTGCCAATGCACAGATTTTGTCTGGAGATACCACCAAGGGAGGCCGCCTACTTAAAGAGACTTGGCTTTCTAACGAGAACTCTATAAACCGCCATGTAGAACTCTGCTCAGCACAACAAACGCTGAGAACATGGGAAAAACAATGCCAGGATTCCCAATGAAAACAATTCATTCACCCTTTATAGGACCAGAGGGGTATAGCAATAGAAAGAACAGGGGACCCCCCCCCCGTTGGTAGTCTGTATATGAGCAAGAGGAGCAAGAGACATAATTAAGGATAGAGTAGAATCCAATATACATCTTGCAGAGAGTTTGGTGATGCAGGTACAAGGATTATGAGCGATGGAAGATTGGAGTGAATGGCGGGAAGGAGGCTTTCAACATGCCTTGGGCATCCCCTGAGAGGGGCAACATTCTCCAACAGAAGAGTGGAGACAGGAATGGGCGCGCTAGAGCCTTCCTGGACAAACATTCAGACCCAGTTGATGGACCATCTTGGAAACACACACTCAGGAGCAATGGGGCGAAAAAGCAAGAGGGTTTTATTGGATACACATCCTGCTAACAGCCTGCCGGGGACGGAACAGTTATGCCTTGGGGTAGAGACAAGAGAGGGAATGAGCGAAAGTGTGTAGCACAAGGGGGTGGTTGGAGACACACAAGCGAATCAACAGTTGGGGAAAAAGAGAGGGGGGGGAGCAGCATCCCTAAAAATCATTGAGACTACAGCAGATAGTCATGAGCAGATGAGGGAAAAGGCAAAAAGGGGGGAGGAGGGAATAACGAATCTGGGTAATTGGATACATATGAAGAAAGCAGTGGGCAAAAAGAAGGAGAAAGGGGGAGTGGCAACCCTAGAAGTTAGTGGTGCAATAACAGACAGTGGGGGGTGCACAAGGGAGGGGATTGGAGAAAAGAAAGTGGATAAGGGAACTGCGGCTTTAAAAACTATCAAGGGAACAGCGATTACGTGCCTTCCAAGAATGAAACAATCAGATATATCAGATGGACCAATGACTAGGTCCAGGAGCCATGCGCAAAATCGGCCGGCGTTATAAAAAGAGAACTCCCATTGACTTGTTTTATGCTCTGGTGATATTGGCAATGCTGGCCAATGAATGCTTAGCATTTTATTAAACAAATCCTAGTTTAATATTATCCCGGTGTTCGTATTTATTTGTTTTTATTACATGGCATCACCCAGGATTTGAATTTTTAATGTAATTTTATATGTGTTACACACACACACACACACACACACACACATACACATATATCACAAGGCAGGCTCTTGTGGCTGTTGAGAGTGCTTTTTTTTGTCATCCTGACAATGGAAATAATTGCATTGCTGCATATTTCCACTGAGTTGTAAAATAGTCCTTGGTATCAAAATAAATGTTTATGTTGCATAAGAGAAAGTGGTTCATTTAATTGCAGTGCGCTAACTTTGACTGCCTTTTAGAGCCACATTTTCTTTAACAACAAAATAAAAACTTTCCTACTCTCAATGGGGAAAAATATTTTTTACAAAGTCACAATGAAATAATTCTCCAGATGGAAAATAGAAAATGTACCCTCTTAAAAATTATTTAGATTTTTGCAAATTTTGCATGGACAAAATTCACCATTTGTATTTTTACACACATTTGGTTCATGGTAGGGTATTATCTGCAGCTTCAGGTTTCAAGTTGCTCAGTCACTTTCTAAGATAACATCTTTATAACACAATAGTTTACATTTCATATAAATACATCTACAGTTCTTGTTTTTAAAAAAACAACAGGCTATAACACATGATTTTTACTTGTTATTTCATTCAGTAAAAAATACTATTATGTATTTTCCTGTATTCATTCTTTATTCTGTTTAAACTGGTTTACTATGTATTTAGGATGTGCAAAACCCACCATTTGGGGAATTGAACAGCCAGAATACCATGTTGAAAAAACAACATAAGTGGCTACTGTTTTCAAGGCAGACCCACTCTCAGAATACCACAAACCACTTCTGGCTCATATTAGTTTTCAGAAACTTCTAGACCATCCCTGGAACAAGGGTTTGGTACATCATTGCTATGTAGTCACAGTTCATCAAGGGCATTGACTTGTGGCTGCTAAAAATCCAGGGAGTTGTAGTCCAGAACACCTGGAGGGCACCTAATTGGAGCAAAGTGATCAAGAATGTATTTATAAATTTTATAAAAAAGAATTTATAGGTATTATTATTATAAGTATTATTATAGAGAGCCAGTTTAGAATAGTAATTTAGATGGTGTAGAAACCAGAACTCTGTGAGTTCTAGTCCCAGTTTAAGCATAATAGCTGACTTTGTGATGCTTAGTCAGTCACTCTTTTTCAGCCTAATCCATCTCACAGGGTTGTTAATAGGAGGTAGGACTATTAGGTATGTTCATTGCATATTAAAAATGGAATTAAACATTGAATAATAAAAAATTAGAAATAAACAGTACTGCCTTTATTGAGAAAATGTTAAAGCTCATTTCATTATTTTTGTCTCTGTTAATGAATTTTACCCTTTCCTGACCACAAAATTTTATATGAGGAGACTTCTTGTTCACTTCTGTGAGAGAGCCTCCAGACAAGTAATTTTATTATATTGTCTATGTATGTCCTTCAAGAAAGGAGAAAGTTTCTTCAAGCTTAGGATTAACTAGATCAATATTGCTCAACATGGTGCCCTCCAGTTCTTTTGAGACTACAACTTCATTATTTTAGCTTTGAGTGTGTCATCATTCACAGATTAAAAGCATGTGCATTTAAGTCAGCATTGGCTAATGTATGATCTTCAAAACACTTGGCTGGCACCACTATCATCTTTCACCATTGGCCATATTGGTTAAGGAAAGTGGAAGTTTTTAAGCAACACTGGCATTCTTCATCTAAATGGAAATAAGCTCTGTAAAGTTCCTGTTAGTTCTCATATAATATAGTGGTAAGTATTATGGGTATTCTGACATCATGACTGATAGTATCAATTTTCTTCATATGTTATTCTACTTCACTACTACAATGCAGCAAAATATGAATGCTCATTCAGTGTGGTTTCAGAAATTATTAAATGTAAAAAGAAAAAAGAAAAACGTACAGTATATATATATATATATATATATATATATATATATCTGTACAGAGGTTCATGAATTCCATGTACAGGGAGCAAGTTCAAAGCTATTGTCAAGATAGTGGCAACAATAGTAGGATTAAAGGTCCGCCAATTTTTATTTGAATCGGGGGCATAAAAAATGGCAGAACCTCAGTCATACTATCGTTATCACTATTTTAACTTTTTTTAAAATCACATCCTATGGATGCTCCTGAATAGACCAGTGCATTCATTTTGAAACAAATGAAAGACTGAAAAGCTACTCATTTTTTATAATTTAATTGAGCAGCAAACTCCACAAAGGAAAAACTAAGCAAAAGCATTTCTCTCTGTATTTCTGTCTCTGTGTGTTTCTCTCTCTTTCTCTTCATTTCCATGCATTTTTGCAATTTTGATTGATTGAGTCATGGTTTTGCAGTGGTCATCAAGCCTGCAACTCTACACAGTTCACTGGAGAAGAAGGAGAAGAAAAAGAAGAAGAAGCAAAATGAATAGGTTGAGGCATCACTGTAGCTTCACAGAATTTTGACAAAAACTCTGAATCAAAGGGACCAAAAAAAAAGGGAGGGATGAAAATAAAGTTTATCTCTCTGTGGCAAAAGGAACTGTGACCAGATAAATGTGTACTTATTCAATATCCTGTTCAAATGATACTTGTTGGCAGGCAACTTCAAAGACCCTGCTTTTCTTTCCAATGTTTTTCCTAATTTAGTGAAAGGAAGCTGCAAAAGTTAGGGCTTACTTTCCATTTCATACTGTATATTGTCTCTGCCAAGTTTAGTGAAAAAAGTTCTAATTTTAGGAGTAGTGTAATATTTAATTCAATTAATAAATAACAATATACCATCCTGCAAAATAAAAATTGGCCATATACTGTACTTTGTTACAATCTAAGAGACTCAGGAAAATTTCTTACGTTGTGCAGTTTAGGCAAAAGATTTGCAAAACATTCCAATTTTGTATATGGTGTGATCTTAAATGAAATGTCACCTGATCAAGAAAAACAAAGTCCAACCCAAATCTTCCTCATCTAGATTTCTCTAGAAGTTTGTAGTTCATGGTCATTGATTAATAGTTGTAGAATGCACAACTGAAATTGGGGAAGGGTAGTTCAAGCAAAATCTAAGGATAATAATAATGGCTTTAAAAAGAAATACGCAACGTGGTTAGGTGAAGGGAAAGCTTAATAACAAATCTTCTAGTTATTTTCCAATTCCTGAAATGAACTTTTAAAGAATGACTTCTCAGAGCCTATCCAAAATTTAACTAAGAAACACAAGGGAAACTGAAGGGGCAGGGGAAGCATAAAGATGGTAAAAGGACACAGATACAGAAACAACTAGAAGCAATTTAAAAAGCAGCCATGTGAGCATTGAAATAGATGCAGTTACTTTAATGATTCAAAGAAACTCACTGTATAAATACTCATGTTTCAAAGTGTGTCTTTTGAGGGATTTTCACAGATCTATTAGATGTGACTCATCTGCTGGTTCAATCTCAGGAAAGAAGCGCTTTACATTCTGAGAAATATGTTTGATAAGATCTCCCTTAAAGTAGTGGGACCTTATGCCACCTCAGATCTCCAAGACAATAGTAACTTACTGCTCCTCACAAGAGTTTTTTGACTGAAATGTTTGCCTTCTGAGGTTTTCCATTATCAGAAGGGTTTCTGTTGAATCTTAAAAACATAGCTTTTGTATCTGAAAATCTTTTATTACAATAAGCAATTCAGAACAACAAACGCAAAATGGAAAATTTCTATAATAATCACAAAAATATAACAAGTAATAAAAAAAATTGTTTCAAATGAAACATTTCTAGGTGTGACACTTACGAAATTTAAATTTCATATCATTCTAGAGACTTGCTGCTGCCAACTCAGAGCAGTGATAATCTTTAGCAGATTGTTTTTACAATTCTCTGGTTAATTCTGTGGCTTTAAGGACCTTTAGTAATTAGAAATAGATTGAAATTTTGGACAGAAGCCATCAGAAATTCTGCTATCATGTTCCATAACAGTTTCATGGGGGAGGGGGAATACAAGGAGTTATTCCTTGTCCTTTTCTGATTTATCTTAAGAAATCAAATCTGGGTCAATTTTTAATTAGATGAATCACTGCCCCAAATTGCTTTTAAGTTATTTGTTGCAGGAAGTTATTTCAAAACTGAAATACTTTGAAACTTGATGAAAAACAAATAATATGAGATTAATTGGGTTTTGGCTGTCTCAAGAATATGTATTCATTTATATTATACCTTTCTTTCAGAAATAAAAGGTAGATTAACTCTCATTTCATCCCTGATCTATAAATATTCTCCTTTATTGGTATCTCAGATTAACTCTCTGTTCCTCAGTTGATATGAGAGATCATGTCCTGTTCAAAACAGCTAATGCCTGAGAATTGGGCCAATGTATTAATCATTTCTCTTTATTCTCTTTAATCAGTAGACATTTTCCTATAAATTCTGTGAATCCAAATATGAAATCTTGGAAAATAGATTCATTGCAGAGAATACTTGGATATAATCTGCATTCTACTTTAATACACTGCTTGTTAAATTTTGTCTCTTGCTTGAAGCAAAAATTGTAATGAAATTGAATCTGGTAGTCTTGTAACTCCTTGATTTTTTTTTTGTTTTAATTAAAACAGTTGGTCAAAAATTAAAAACCCTTTCATGCACTATTGTATAAGTTCACATACTGTAGACACCAAAAAAATTAAAATATATTTTTCTAAATATTAAATGGCCAGAATCTCATATCTCTTTGGAATTGCTTGTGGGAACAATTATCTTAGGAAATTTTGGCCTTTTATCAAAATTGGTTGCTCAATCAGCCTGATGTTTAATTGAATTTGGCGTTTTTATCTACCTATCATGTCCTTCCCAAAAACCTGGATAGACAGATGTTGATGTTGATAGTGTTAAAGGTACTGTTGTAAGATGTAAGTTGTTCCAAGTAAATCTGTCTTTTGCAATTGACTGATGCTGAATTTGTCAATATTAATGGTATTCAAGTGGTGCTCTACATGTTTTGGGATTGTACCCAAGAAACCTATTATTAATGGTACTCATCTCTCCTTTCTTTTGCCACAATCATTCTATTTTCATTTGCAGTTCCTTTGTATTTTGTTATTTTCTCCAGTCTTCTATTCTGCTATCTAACTGAAATATCCACTATCCAGACTTTTTGGTTTTTTTATCAACAGTTATTAAGTGAGGGATGTTATGTAGTAGATGTTTTTCTATTTGAATTTTAGTTTCTTCATTTTATATTACTTTGTCTATGGTGTGATCCCACCAGTTCTTGCTTGCAGACAAATGGTATTTCTTGCAGATATTCCAATACACCATTGTTGCTACTTTGTCATGCTGTTGTTTGTAGTCAATTTGTGCAATCTTTTTTTTCTGCAGCTAATTAGATGATCCACTATTTCTTCAGCTTCTTTGCAAAGGTTGCATTTGCTGTCCAATGTTATCTTCTTAGTACTAGCTTTGTATGCATATGTTCTTAAGGCTTGGTCTTGTGCATGCTTGGATAATCAGATGCCTAGAAATAACAGTAGTCAGTAGAAACATCAGAAACTTTGTGCAAAGATCAGTGGTACCATAGATTAGAAGACACAGTTGCTGATCAGTGATGATAGTATGAAAGAGCTAATATCAAGGAGATTTCCTACACCACTACTGTTCTTAATTGCATTGATTATATTATTTAATTTTAAAGGTACTTAAGTACCAGCTAATGATATTGTGATTGTCATGATCCAGTCAGTGCTATGTTGAAAACCTATGAATTAAAAAGTAGATTCTTTTTTTTTTATTATTGAAATTTTTCAAAAATTTTACAAATAAACATCCCCCCCTCCCAAACCACCCCACCCTCCCCCCCCCGACTTCCCAGAACTGAATATAGGATTATTTAACAAATTTTTAAAAATAACGTTTACAATTTATAAGATAATTAATAAAAATAATAAAGGTCATAATAATAATATATATAATAATATATATAATAATAATATGCATAACATAAGCTTTAAAATGAATAATATATACTAAAAAAGAAAGAAAAAAAAGGGAAAAGAAAAGAGAGAGAGAAAGAAAAAAGAAAAAAGTAGACGAAAAATAGAACATATATATAAAAAATATATATATAAGTAATAATACGTAAAGAAAAAAGGAAGAAAGAAAGAAGGAAAAAACAATCATTACAAGTTATAAAAAAGCTAAATGGTATTTTTCCATATCCAAATTATATTGTATGAAATTTATCCATTTTTCCCATACTGCAAAGAATTTCTCTTGAGATTGCTCCTTTAAAAAAGCCGAAATCTTTGCCATTTCTGCCAGATACGAAACTTTGTGAAACCACTCTTGCAAAGTAGGCAAGGATTCCTTCTTCCAATATTGCCCTATTAACAGCCTAGCGGCTGTAATCAAATTTAACATCAATATAACCTCCTTAGCATCACAATCAGTAACAATACCTAGTAAAAATAATGGCGGAGTAAATTTTACCCTCCGTTTAAAAATTCTTTGGATATTCCACCATATCTTAATCCAAAAAGCTTTTATATGCTTACACGTCCACCAAGTATGATAATAAGTAGCATCCAAATGTCCACATCTCCAGCATTTCGGCTGCAGATTAGGGTACATAATGGACATTTTCTTTGGATCAAGGTGCCATCTATAAAACATCTTATAAAAATTCTCTCTTAAATTTTGCGCTTGTGTGAATTTAACATTTCTTATCCAAATAAGTTCCCAGGTATCCATTGAAATCGTTTCACCAATATTCTGTGCCCATTTAATCATACAATCTTTAACTAATTCAGGTTCTGAGTCCAATTCCACTAAAACCCCATAAACTCTCTTAATATGGGTTGGCCTTTGATCTCTTACTTGTTTTAAAAGAGCTTCATCTTCTCTAAGCCAGCCCATTTTACAATCCATCTTCCATCTGTCCACTATTTGTCTGTATTGGAACCATGAATAAGTTAAATTTTCATGCGTTAATTCTTCCAAAGATTTTAACTGCCAATCTTGGCCATCCCATCTAAGTAACTGTGCATAAGAGACCATATCCATATTAACCCCTTTCCTTATGCCTTCTATGGCATGCCGAGGTATAGCCCATAATGGTATTTTGAAGTCACTTTTATAATACTTTCTCCACACTCTAAGCAAAGAGATTCTTATAATATGAGACTTAAAAACCCAATCCACTTTTTTATTAAATATTAAATAGGCATGCCATCCAAAAAGTAAGTCCCAACCTTCCAAATGAAGTATTTCTATATTTGTTAAATTCACCCAGTCGCTGATCAATGTTAATACTACAGCATCATAATACAATTTCATATTTGGTACCTTGAGTCCTCCTCTCTCACGAAAATCTTGCATTATTTTAAGTTTCACCCTTGGTTTTTTCCCTGCCCAAACAAATTTATTAATACCTTTTTGCCATTCATCTAAATTACGTTCATTCTTTAAAATAGGTAACATTTGAAACAAAAAAATAAACTTTGGCAGGACATTCATTTTGATAACTGCAATTCTACCCATAAGGGATAACTGTAGATTGTTCCAGTTTTTTAAATCCTTCTGTACCTCCATCCACAGCTTTTCATAATTATTTTTATACAGTTTTGCATTAGAAGCAGATAATGTGACCCCCAAATATTTTACCTTATCAACAATTTCAAAATCTGTTAAGTTAACTAAAACCTGTTTATCACCATTAGTCATATTTTTAGCTAATATTTTGGTCTTATTATTATTAATTTTAAAACCAGAAACACATCCATATTGTTGAATCAATTGTAATAATTTTACCACCGAACAGGTAGGTTGAGACAGAGTAACAACCAAGTCATCTGCAAAGGCTCTTAATTTATATTCTTTTTTATTAATTTCTATTCCTTTTATTTCTTGAGACTCCCGAATTTTAATCAACAAAATTTCCAATGTTAAAACAAACAATAACGGAGATAACGGGCATCCCTGTCTTGTACCTTTTTCTATTACAAAAGCCTCTGACAAACCCCCATTTACAATAAGTTGAGCAGTCTGTTTTTGATATATATTAGATAATACTTGTAATATATTTTGTCCAAAATTCATCTCCTTAATTAAACATAACATAAACTGCCAATTCACTTGGTCAAAGGCTTTTTCAGCATCCAAAAATATCAGGCCTGCAGAGACTTGGTTATTCTTTTCTAGATACTCTAATAAGTTAATAATTTGTCTAACATTATTTTTCATATACCTTCCAGTTATAAAACCCGATTGATCCTTATGTATAAACTGCTGCAAGATCCCCATAAACCTATTAGCTAAAATTTTTGCAAAGATTTTATAATCCACGTTTAAAAGAGATATAGGCCTGTAATTTTTAGGCAATGTAAGATCTTGATTATCTTTTGGAATCAATGATATAAATGCATTACGCCAAGATGGAGGGATCTCTAAACCCTGTAATAAGTTATTAAACAATTCACACAATGGTTGAGTCATCTCTTCTACTAAAGTTTTGTAATAGATAGATGTCAACCCATCCGTACCCGGCGCTTTGCCCAATTTCAATTGTTTAATAGCTGTAACAATTTCTTCTTTAGTAATTAAGCCATTAATCTCTTTTTCCTGATCTTCTGTTAATTTAGGAAAGTTAACTTTACCTAAATAATTGTTTATATCTGTAGTTTGAATATTGGCACTCTTATATAATTTTTGATAGTATTCTAAAAAGGATTTCTTAATCAATTCTTTCTGATAAACCAATTTACCATTATAATTTATTTTATCTATATTCCTCTGTTTCTGTTTCTTTCTTAACTGATAAGCCAGCCATCTCCCTGGTTTATTAGCATTACAAAATATATTTTGTTTCATAAATAATAAATTGGTTGCAGCTTGATCAGCCATCAACATGTTAAATTGTGTTTTTAACAGTTTTAAAGCTCCTTTCACCTTTTCGTCTAAAGGATTTGAAATTAAAAGTTTCTCTTTTAATTTAATCTCCTCTTCTAAATCTTTACGTTTCTGAGTCTGTTTCTGTCTATGCAAGTTATTCATTTTTATCAAGATACCACGCATAAAAGCTTTACTTGCATCCCACACCATTGACATTGATGTTCCCTTATTCATATTTAAAGCAAAATATTCCTTTAAACATTCCTTTAATTTATGAACATTTTTTTCTTGTTTGAATAAATTCTCATTCACCCTCCAGGATCTCCTGTCTTCTTTCTCAGCAAACAGTTCCATCCATACTGGAC